AAAGTTAGCCAATTAACTGAAACAAATTACACTATCTGATCAATTATAAACTATATAAAAAGATCAAGCAATAAAATCTTTTAAAAAATCTAATTATAACGGATAAAAATAAAAATAAAATAAAAAACATTAGTTTTTCCAACCTAATAGCCAATTAACTGAAACAAATTACACTATTTGATCAATTATAAACTATATATAAAGATCAAGCAAGAAAATCTTTTAAAAAATCCAATTATAATAGATAAAAATAAAAATAAAATAAAAAATATCAGTTTTTCTAACCTAGATGACTCAGAGCTCTCAAACCTCCAGAAAAAGGTCTTGGTGCACGAGCCTAAAACAACTAACATGTTATAGTCTTAGTTTTTTTAAGAGGTAGATAATAGGTTATTTGTCCCTTAATTATTTTTTAAAAAATTTAATTGATTAGCTATCTCTTATCTTACCTGGATTCTAACAATCTTTAACTGGCCTGTTTTAAACTAAAAAAAAAATCAACAATATTTCAATAAAAACAACACCTTAAACATCCTCTAAAACATATTTATTAATATTTAACAACTCAAAAATTGACTTTTAAATCTATAATCAACCAGAGTTAAAAAAATTTTCAAATTTAAATCTATCATTTCAAGTAAATTTAAGGAAAAACAACATCTTGAATAAATACTCCTTGTTAAATAAAATTTATTAACACTAAATTATATGTTTTTTTGGCTTGAAATAGACTATGACCCTTGTTAAATAAAATTTATTAACACTAAATCATATGTTTTTTTGGCTTGAAATAGACTTGTTTTATGATCTTTTTTTTTTACTATTAAAATTTAGCTATTTTAACTTTTTTTTTTATAAATAATAAAAGTAAAGTTTAGAATCAAATTGAACTTTATAAGTTGTTAAAAATTAAAAGTTTATAATTTAAAAGTTAAATAAAAAAGAAGGGTACATTTAGCTCCAGAGTTGTAAAAACTCTCTTTTTAATGTCCCATCACTTGCTTGTAAAGGCGCAAATAGATAAAAAAAAAAAAAAAGGAAGGAGGAGGAGGAGGAGGAGGAGAGGAGGGACTAAAGAAAATCACTGTAGGAATCCACGTTTGACGTATCTCTAGCTGAACAATGCCGTAGAGAAAAGTATTTTCCTGATGTTTTTTTTTTTTTGAGAGTATTTGTAAATTAACAGCGGTACTAGTTAACTTCCAAGCTAAACAATCACTGATGCAATAGAGTTACGAGCCAATAGCCAAATTCTTTAATTTGACTTTGGGACCCGAGGCCATTGATTATCGGACCATACTCCTTACCCATAGCACATGCAGCGATGCATGGCTTCAACATGGGACACCGGAGAGCCCCTCGCCTCTACCCATTGCCCATTGGTGGTTTCTTTATTGTGTACTTGGTTTCTAGGTCGTCCACCTTTTTCATCAACTCAGATTTGTTTCCGAGAGGACCCGAAAAACATGACACCACGCCTTGATTTATATGTTTCAACAAACCGTGGCTAGTAAATGATGATCTTTTTTAGAGCCCTTATGTCCTGCCCTTGATTCATGGCGTTGTTTCTGGTTTTCTGCCGAATCGGTAGGTATCATGGCGTGTAAAGAAGACCCTTCACTTCTTTTTGCTTGTTTTAAATGGTAAGGATCCCACCGCCTTAGCATTTCACCATAATTACCAGTGACCATTGATCAAGCATTGCATCTGGTATGCCATGATTACACTCTTTATTTCAGCTGCCAGTGCTTGTGATTTTTCCTTGTATAGCTCAACTAACGTTCTATATTCGTTCCCTGGCCTCCTTCAACAAACTATGGTATTATTTCCTTGATCAAATTGATCCTGTAAGGTGGAGCTTTATCGAATTAAAGGAGAAAAAGATCCCTGGCAGAGGGTGGATTGCTGGTCTTGATTTAGACTTGCCCGTAAAATGGAATATGCTGATCAAATTCACTTGAAGTTGCATGTGTGCATATCTAAAACTCAAGCATGCACCATCACCTATCTAAAACTCAGATTCTGTCTTTCCGAGTTTTGGCTTACTTGACCGGAATTCAAAATATTCGTAAGATTTTAAACTCGTTTGGGCCGTTTGATGGGTTTAGTGAATATGCTATTCCTAAAATCAACCTTTAAAACACTCCCACTTCCGATCTGTCCTCTGCTTCCTTTTTATTTCTGTCTTTTCTTTTCATTTTGTCTTTTGCTAAATCTCTTAAAAACCCATAGCCTCTCATTTCAACACCAAGCTCTTCCCTTTAATTCACGACCACCAACTCCTCATTTACCTTTATACCGAAGTAATTCTAGGAATCAAATAAATTGTGAAGGGATGGTATTTTGTCTTAAGTTTTTTATCCACTTTTTAGATACAGGAGCACGGCTGGTAAATGTGCAATCAAGAGAGCAAATGGCGAGGATGAAAGTCATGAAACAAGTGAATCGATCAGTTGAGGCCATGCGCACCAAGATTAGCATGAAGAGTAATGTTATTTGGAACTTGCCCAAGAACGTCCTATATTAGTTCAGGGCATGTCCTCATCTTCTTGTTGTTATAGCAAATCTTCTTGTTGTTATAGCAAATGTTGGGAATTTGCTACCACTAGTTTAAGTGTATAGCTCTCCAGTCCACAGTTTTGTTTGCTTGCTTGCTTCATTCCCGTGTGGCTGGGTTGGAAGTTAATATTTATTATAGCAGTCCATTTCAAGTTTTCTATTTTCATACAGTCGATCAATTATTTTCATGGTTAATATCTGGTAAAGAGAGTTTCAGGTCGAAAAATCGTGCCTTTCGCTGACTTCTGAATTGCAGGTCTGGTAGTAAGTTCGAGGCGCAACACTGTGATATTTGTCCGGGCAACAGTTGCTAATGTCTAGTGCTGGGTAGAGACCACACTGTCTTTTCTTTCTGTCTTTTGCTTGATCTCTTACAAACTCACTGCCTCCCATTTCAACACCAAGCTTTCAAGTTGTCGCGCTTATGGTTAAAAGATACTATTTTATTTTTTTTATATAAAAATACAGGTTTTTTTGTCAAAATTTTAAGTTTAGGCCATATCTATTTTCTAAAAACTAGTTTTTAAAAAATTATTTTTTAAATTTTTATATATTTATTTGTTATTAAAAAAATTGATCAATAAAAAATATTTTTCAATTAAAGAAAAATTTAACTTGATTTCCAAAAACGTGTTTTCCTGAAAAATTTGAACAGAAAATACTTTCTGAAAGTTGTGAAAAATTTAGAACTATCATATTATTAATCAACAAAAAACACTTTTCAATTTTAACTTAGTTTTCAAAAAAGTATTTTTTAAAAAAATTTAGACGAAAAATACTTTTTAAAAGTTATAAAAAATTTAAAACTGTCATATTATTTACTAATTATATCAAATTTGATCTTCAAACTTTTGATTACTATATATATTTTGTTTTGAATATTTATTTTTTAATTTTATCTCTTAAAATTTAATTTTTATATTAATTTTAATCCTCATTTTTATAATTATTATTTGTTTTTTTCTTGTTATTTTTTTATTAAATTTTTTTATCTATCAAATTTTATCCTCTCGTTAATTATTTTATTTAAAATAATTTATAAAATATTAATCATTATTATTTAATTTCTTCATCTTTTATTTTTTTTATTTTTTAAATTTGATCTTTATTATTTTAATTATTATTTATTTTATTTAAGATAATTTATAAATTATTTTTTTAATTTTATTATCAATCAACCTTTTAATTTATAAAATTTAATTAGAATTACTTTAATAAACTTAAAAAAAAATAAAACATTAATAAATTATTTTTCAACTCATTTTCTATAATATAACCAAAAAAAAATATTTTTCAAATTACTTTTCATTACACTATCAAACATCATAAAAATATTCACCTTTCTAGAATTTATTTTTCTAAAATTTACTTTAAAAAAAAAAACTGCAACCAATCTAGGCTTTAATATGTTATTTTTAAAAAATAAATAAATGTAACGCGATGATAAAAGTCAAGGATCACCTATCATGATGCTAGGCTGCACATAAAGCTGTAAATTGCAAGCCACAAATGATTTAACTACTCCATTAAAACAACAGAAGACAAGCAAAACCAGTAAGATGTGCATGTCAAGACAGGAAGAATATCACGCAACAGAGGATGACCTATGTCCATTACCAAAATTTTACAGTGGCTATAAACAGTATTCCAGGAAGGAAAAAGAAAGATCAAGCAACTATCAAACTCACAAGAGGCATACCACAGCACACACAGCGCCCTGCCCTGCATTAAATACATAAAAAGACTGACTCCAGATGCAATCCATTTGAGAGAATTTCGTTTCCGATGTTGCAGTATGTAATAATTGCCCTTTTATTTTAGATGCAAGGCTTAGCCCCAGAAGACCAACGTATTACCTGCATCTGATTGCAATGGTGAAAAACCCTTATTCACACTCAGGATTCAGGGCATGTCAGAAACGCCCAGAGTTAGCTGCATTTGGATTGTGAGTAGAAGAACGAAAGGCATAGTGCTAAAATTGCCAATTAGCAAAACTGTTAGTCATGGCAATCGCCTTCTAAAGTTGCGGGTGGTGCCTTGGTAGGTTCGTACCAGCAAGCCCACACCTATCCCAATTCCAACACAAACGCTTAGGCCAATGCCAACACCCACTCTAACACCAGCATTGAACCATGACATTTCACCATCTTCACCATCCATATATTCTGTTCCTGGGAACAGGTGGTAATCTTCATTCTCCGGCTTGTGGTCTGAGTATTCAGATAACTGCAGAGTTTACAAGGTAAATTAAAAGCAGAATGCTTGGGGGCACAACTTCAAATAAATGAGGATAAAGTACTGATCTTAGACGGTATCAAGCTTCATAAAGTCTCCAGAATCACTCACAACACAACATACTAAAGTAGACTAAAACAAAGGAATTCATATCGCAACTGCAGTTACAACACAGTACTGGTTCTAACATGCCAACAATCTCTCACGCATAGGACTGCCCAGAAAGTGCAAGGTAAATGAAGCTACCAATGGCCTGTTTAACCCTGACTATATCTGGATTGAGAATTCAACTGGATACTGTCATCAGAGGAAACCATAACAACTTTAAACAACCATTTTGTTCTTAACATCCATTAAATTTTCTAAGAAACCAGCAGATCTTTATGCATGATTATCATCTTAAGATAGCATTTGAAACATTTGAAGACACCTGCATGCTATACGAGGGAGAAATGTTGCACTAATGACACCCCCGAAGAAAACCATATAACTCTTCAGACAGATTAACTTGAGTTAATAGTTCAGGATTTTTACTTCTCAATCTAGAAATATTCACACATTTTTCATGTTGTTGTAGCAGGTCATTTAAGCAAATAACATACAAACAAAATGGGGTTGGATTGTACTATTCTCTATCTTGCAAAACACATACTAGAATCATATCTTTGTATGTAAGTAGAATGACTAGAATAGAATGAAAAGTGTCAAACAACCATCTCAACCCAAAAAATTAAATTATTAGGTGAAATTTTAAATCATGATTTATATTATTCTTTGACACATCAAGAAAAAACAAACTCATGACTGTTTGGTCATTAAAACTCTAATACCATATCAAATAATTATTTCAATCTAAAAATTTAAATTGTTAAATGAGGTTTCAAGACATGATTTATATTATTCTCTGACATAAAAGACTAAGAACTTGCAAAGATGGAAACAGGTCATAAACAAAACAGAAGAACTAAACATTCTGAAAGCAAAACACAATTTTCCAAGAAATCCAAGATGAAATTAAGGTATACCTGTAAAGGAAACCTGGAAGGGGCTTTGTCCTGGCTTCCAGTTGCCTCATATTCTGGTATGGAATCTAACATCCCCTTTCTCATTTGCTTCTTACGAAAACCAAGCTCCAATGTCTTTGTTAAGATAATTGGAGTGCCCGAGAAAGATCCTGTAACATAGACCTCAATTGTAGGCATCTCTGAATCTAGACCCATAAACTGTTTATCCTTCAGGAAGCCGTTGCCTAGTGTTATGTCTGATTCACAATTCATGCTCCACCTCTGGTCATGGTTCCTTGATTCCCCTACAAAACCATTGCTACAACACAATTCTAAAACACCAGATAACAATAGGACATCCTTATCAAAAACCTCAAACCTCACACTCCCAGTCATCCTTATACTATCGGTGCTGACAAATGTTGCTTCTTCAGATTTCTTATCTAATCTATCCCTCCTAAGAGTGGTCGATGCACCATCAGAATTGATAGAAGTTCTAACACCATTTACTTCGAGAAGGGTATCAGGATATAATGGAATATGGTTCACAGAAAGGAGCTCAGGAGTCGAGTCATCAATCTCACATTTGCTGATTCGGACATAGAATACTCTTAAATCAAGCCAAGGTAATGATCTGGGTTGATGAGGAGTTTGCCTAACAACTGCATGGCCATTTTCTCTTAGCCCATTAACATTAGATGTTTCATAAGAATTCTCCATGAACATAAAGAAATCAATCGTCCTCCTAAATAAAAATCTTCCACCTTGACTCTGTTGCTAACTTCAAGTTCATTTCGGAGGAACAAGCAAATGACCTGTGGACATGTCCAAAAAGTGAATACATAGCAATTCAATCAACATAAGTTGAAGTCTGGACATGGCCAATGAATAAAAGTCCATTTGAAAATCGAAGAGTTCAAATGGAGACAGAACACCTAAAACGTAACTGGAGAGAAGAAGCAAAACTAAACAGTAAATGAAACCTTTTGAGAATTGAGACATAAGGCTTTAACAGAACAGCCAGAACCATACACCAATCCTTTCTACTTCCTGCAAGAAATTAAAGCAAATTAAGAAAAAGTAAAGCCCAAGTCGGGACAACGTAAATAAGGTGAAGAAAAAAGGGATAAAGAGATGAGAAGATGAGAAAATAAGCCAGAGAAAAGTCCAAATGATTAGATGTTGAAAAACAATAAATTACGCAACTCCCCCATGAAAGAAAGAAACATACTACTGGAGGGTAAAGCGTTCTTTCTCCAAGCCGATCAAGACCTAATATAAAGTACAAAGCACACACCAATCAAACTCACCTAAAACCAATCACATCTAAAAACTTATCACAGATAAACCATACCAGGTATACCAGAGAAATAAAACCGAACACTGACTACAATTCACTGAAGAAGACTAAAACTTTTAAAGATTGTAACAGAAACGGAACAGAAAAATAAATCACCGCAGATTCCAAGAAACTGGACGGCATAGAAGACAAATTATGCAAGTCTTACAAGCAGACAAATCCCTCTCCCTCTCTCTCTCTCTGTATCCAATCACAAATTAAAGAAATAATAAAATATGATAAAAGAATTGTCTAACTGCAAAAAATACTCACCAGACTTGTATCTCCAAGACACAGTCTTTGGTTTCTCTCTTAGGGGCCTCCACAATCCAATGGTATCCAATTCAAGGCCTCTAAGAACACTTGTCTCTCCTCCAATATAACAGAAACTTGGCTTCTGATTTGCTAGAGAACAACAATCCTCCTAGCCATGCAAAAGCTAAACTTTCCAAAAAAAAACAAAGCACAAAACTCCACAAACAATCTGGAATTTACTTAATCTACAATTAATGGTATGAAAAACAAAGAACAACCCATTTCGTCAAATTCAACAAACAAAAATAGGCTGCCTTTGCTTTGAATTATAGTTGATTGTTGATGAAATTGAAAAGTAAAGACCAGCTGATAAAAAAGCAAACTTTCAAATATTGGATGGTTGAGTACATTTTTATGGATAGGATTAAAAAGAAAAGAACAACCCTGATAATCAAATTCAACAAACAAAACAGGGTTGTTCTTCGATTTGATTTTTAGATTATCACTGTAAGTTGATCAGATTGAAAAGGCAAAGAGCTGCACAAGCAGCAGAGTGGCAAATTCTGGGGGATTGCAGTTGAGTCTCTCTCTCTCTCTTTTTCTTTTTCTTTTTTTAATTCTTTTTTACGGTTATTATTATATTGGAAGGTGGGGTCACTCTTTATCTGATATTTTTCAGATCTTATCCAAGAAAGAGAGGAAGCGGGTCGGTTCACACGGCCGCGGTCAGTGAAAGGGATATGCTTTTTTTCTTAAAAAAAGAACAAAAAACTTTGGTTGCTCCAGATTTATAAAGATAAGTGAATCTTACTACACGGATCCTGTCCGTGAGACTTTTTCCTTCTATCTCCAGATTTTATTTAATTTTTCATCCCGACGATGCATGGATTACTTGATTAATGAGACTCGTCTTTAAATTACATCTTGATAAAATCACAATTAAGCGTTCAATAGCATTTTTAAAAGCTTCTATCTTATTGAACTTTATATAAAAGAACTGGAACTTAATGTAAATTATGGTTTTGTTTTTTTATAAAAAATAGTTGTAAGTTTGATGTATTTTTTATTTTTTAAAATAAAAATTTGTGCTCATTTTAAATAAATAAATAAATATGTTTATCAATTTTCTACTGAGAAAAAAATAAAAAAGAAAAAGAAAAATTATTTTGTATCACTAAACACATCCTTAATATTTCTTGTATCACTATATTTTTTTTCCCAACACAGAGCTAGAAATTCATGATTCTCTCACGTTTTCTTTTCATTGCAAGTGCGAGATATTATAAAAAACAACTAAATTTTTTTTTACCGGTTTAATTATTTATATAAACCTTAAACCAAATTAATATATATTTTTAATTATTTTATAACATATTCTATCAAAATTCAAGTGATTAACGTGTGTAATGAGCTGAGGTCGCGGGAACGAGCTCTAAAAAACATAAGTTATTTTTCTTTGTCTAACAAACAACTTTTCGTGTGTTATTTTTTTTAAAAAATAAAAATAAAGGCGAACAATCCTTTAAAAAAAAAGAAGAAAATATTGGCCAAACACGTGCCTACTTTAGCCCACGCTCTTTGTTGTTCTGTGATAAGCCTATCCGAAGGCAGTTAGTAAGGATAAGCAAAAAAATAATAATAAATCGATTAGATTGAGAAGATTGAAAAAAAAAATGAATTAATTTATTACAAAATTACAAAAAGAATTTAGTTTGATTTAATTTCAGTTTTAAAAATTTAAAATTAATTAAACTAAACCAAACCAATTCAACTAAGCCAATACTTAAAAAAAACAAGTATAAATAGATAGTTTTTTTCTGACCCTAAAGCTAAAAGAGTATTCCCTAAACACAAAACAGTTGCCCCTCCATTTGCTTTGCTCTTTGCATCTTTACTTCTTTAATCTTAACCACCAACCCCCCATAAAGACACACACAAGCAGTTATAGAAAAGGAAAGGAGGATGGGCAGTGAGTTTAACAATCCATTATTTCTATTCGCTCTAGCTAGGCTTTTTATCTACTTCTGCTTCAGGCTTTTATCTACTTCTACTTCAATTGGAAAGGAGAGGAAAATCAGTTTTTTCGATACGATCTTCCTGTATCGCTGCACCAACATAAAGGAAAGCTTCAAAACGAGGCAATGGGCTTCACCAAATCCTGATTTTGTTTTCCTTCTACCGATTGTCGAAAGCTCAAAGCTACTGGTTTTGTTCTGTCATGTTCTATCCTAGTTCTTTCTACTCTTGAGTTACCATTCAAGCATACTCAGAAAAAGAGGAAGCCCACGAAGCAGTAGCAGTTGTTTCTTCTACTTTGTCTTGAAGCTAGAATCAATCCCTCTATTTCATACTTTTTTAGGGAGAAAGTTATTTCGACTTGTACAGAAACGATATCATTTTCAAGCTAATGAACTGAATCGGCTGGTTTGAAAGGAAAGAAACCGAACCAAACTAAACCAAAACTAGTTGAATTGAACTAGTATTCAGTTTAGTTTGATTCAAAAATTTTAAAAAAATATATTTTGATTTGATTATTTATTTTGATCCAGAACCAGACCAAATCGAAAATATTTACTCCTACCAACTAAGCTATCATTTATTTTTTTATTATTATTATTTATTACTGAAATTTTATTATTTAGTATGAATTAATTATAAAATAGTTTTTATATTTTTTTATTATATAATAACATAAAATAAAAATAATTCAATATAGTAAAATTTATAATTAGAGTTGCAAAATTAACCAATTAACTAGAATGAATTTAACATGTTTTTTTTCTTTGAGTTTTTTCAGGACAATTACATTTAATTTAAAATACAAGCTAAGCAAGAAATCCAATAAGGGTTTTACAATTTTGGATCGCTATAATGAGTTTCTTGATAATGCTAAAAAAATTTCTATAATCTAAATAATATTCTTTCAGCTATAGAAAATAGTTTGATCTTAAATAGCTTGAATGCATGCCAAACAATTTCACCAAATAAATCAAATAGCATCCTCGAGCTACTCTATCATCTAGAAAACAGACAAATAAAATAGTTTGATACTTCACTGCCTTGGCATTTCACGCGAAGACACATGGGGTAACGGAACATGCATGCTCGCGAAAACAATTTCTTATCTTCTGCTTCATACCCATCTTTAACATGGGTTCATCACCATTCCCTTGCATGATAACGTTGCAAGAGGTAGCTGGCATGGCAACACGTTCGTTGGAATGAATGGTAACTCAACCACTGCTTATGAACTTGGTCCTCCAGATATCTGAGATAAACTTAATACCCTAAATGAGGTCACTACCATAGCCAACACATACACTACTAAGAGTCCGAATTTGAGGAGATAAAATGGTAAACGAGCTCACAGCCACAGCCAGCATCTCAAAGTTTTACGAGAAACTTCTAATTTCTTGTAGTATTACTTATTTCTCAACAGGGGTCACAATTAACCAACTAGGATCACAAGTTTTTAAAAAGAATTCCTCATTTCACCCGCGATGCTATTTGCGGTTGATAAGGACAGCGTGTTTCCTTAACCTACCGTGCAATGCCTCCTGATTGAGAAATATTATCCACTACCTTCAATGGCAATAGGGTGTAAAACGTAGAAAACAAGTTATAATTTCCAAGATAATCCATTTCAAAGCAGATGTTTTTCCATCCAGTTCAATCATCAAGTTATAAACTCTTCAGATTGGCAAATTCAAGCATCCTAGACCAAAAGATGAAAGAAAATGGAGTGCATGTGAAAAAAACTCTTGAACATCAACTACTGCGAGACAGGTATCAGACATATAAACGATAATGTAATAAATTGCGTCTATCGGTGTGATTACTGTATGCAGGTCATCCTCCCGTTCAGACATGAATCGCTCCAATCAAGCCAGCTCATGCACATAATGAGGTGAATAGGTGCTACTTGGAAATAAGAAAACCAAATCTCTGTTTTGTGAGAGATGATAACACCACCAGTATTACATCAACCCCACAGAAGTAAATAATCCTGGCCAAGAGATGACTTACATCAAGCAATTGCCACGAATGGAAATGAGATGTCAAAAAGAAGAACCAACGTTAGGGGAAGAAAAACTGTTCTAATGCAACCCAATTTGGTTTGAAATGACCCGAGTCTTGTCACCGAGGAACTGCAAAATCTAGGAAATGCCAGTGATAAAAAAAAAGAGAGAGAAGAAACTCAGTAGCTGGAGAAATGTAAACAAAAAATAAAAAGAATTTTGTTCAGAAACAGGAAACTTAAAACACATTGAGAAAAAAAATACAGAACATAGAATACTAAAAGTTAACTGGGCAACAGAGGGGAACATGATAACAAGAATTCAACAAGGGAGTCCGAGGATAAAAAAAAAAATATCCTCCTTGCTGCCCCAATTTCATTCTTCATCTAATGATCTGATTTATATTTTTGGCGATGAGAACTTAAGGATGACTAACAATGTGATCATTCCGAAACACAAGCATAAGTTGTATGCTGCAGCCACCACAGCAGAACCACAACATTTGAAGTTGGATATAAAATTCAAATGTCTTACAAGGCCAGCATCTCTACTTTACACACCAGAGCTAAGATGGAAAAAAAAATGAAAGGGCAGGTTATTCACATTTCATTTGATGGTCAAAAGCGAAATAAAAGCTAATCAGCGGTAGTTCTAAAGATTCCCCAAGGGAAAAATATAGATGTCTTCTACTTTGCCCCTAAAATGTGCAAGGAATTTTTTAAAGATTGGATCGACAGGTTACAACACAAGCAATAACGAAGTTATGTCTTGTTGACAGAAGCTTGACTTTTCATCTTGTAGCTGATCAACTAAGGGATTCTAATTTCACATACATTTCATCTTTCACATTAAGAGACCTCTACTCTCACAGCCATCGAATGATGAAGGAAACCAGATATTTTGATAAAGAGAAGATCTGTTTGAGGACAGGTTAAAATCCCTATCAAATCAATTTGTCCTCCATTAAGGACATTAAACATTCAATTATCAAATGGCATTACCAGACCCCACGTTAACTGGTACAGGATATTATAACTCAAAGAATCCATGGAAAAAAAAAAAAAAACTAGCAACCAATGACAAATATAATTCATCCATTCTCTTTGTGGCGGGGGAAGAGGGAAACAGCAGCAAAAAGGCAAAATAACAGTATTTTGGCCAAAACATGTTTGCATATGCTGACATATTACAAAGAAATAAAATTCAAGACTCGGAAAAGGATTCAATTTCCTTTCGCATTTATCACCCCGGCAGTCATGTCACAACGGTGTTGCAAGTCCTATTGCAATATAGTAGAGGAATCGAGTCAAGAGGCAACCATCAATGCAGAATAAAAGGTTGAAAGGAAACAGTACTAAAATACACTGCCAAAATAAAATCCATTAAAAAATAATTGTATGTCAATATTAATCAAATGCCATAACACTTGAACACCGGCAAGATATCCATTTCTGCACAATCTGGTTTTATTCGTAGGTATAATAAGAGAAGACAGAAATTATAATAAATGCTTGCAAGACCAAGCAAGTACTGTACACACACAAAATAACCCACATCAGTTTCTACAACGTCCATTTCCTAATTCCTACAACACATCCAGGTAAACAAACACCAGTCTTTATTAATTAAAAATATAATAATTGAGTTAATAATAAAGTAAATTCTTCCAGAGATATCGAAAAGTCCAGTTCAACGCCATCCCGGTGCCTTCTCGTTGCCTCTGAAGAAGGCACCTAATAACAACTATAGAACCCTCATAGTGCATAAACATGTGGGGCCTCAACATATATTTGACAAATGACACGACAGACTGTACTGAGTATTTCTCAAAATGATAAAAACAACAGTAAACTAAAATGATAAAAAAGAAAAGATAGAAACTTGAGAAATAGAAACAACTGACCTCGAGAGAGCCAGCTCCAGCAAGAAGAATCAACAGCGATGCTAGATTTGAGTCTAGCATTTGCAATTGCATTGTGAAGTGGCATCAGTGACTCCACACTCCCTAGAACTGAAACAACCCTACAATTCAAAGGCAGTTACAAAACATTATATTAAAATAATTAAAACAAGATCGAATTTGAATTGAAAAGAGGAATTAGTTTGCTTTTTTCTTTTTACCTTGAAGAGGCAAGGACAGTTCGTGTTGGTGTTGAAGTGAAAGGAGAAGACATGGATTTTGCGTTTAGTGTTTTCTGAGCTACCGTTTTGGATCGAGATGCCAGGGACCTTGAGGTTGCCGTTATTGCCGATCTGTAAAACGATGCCATTTCTGGTTTAGAGAAGCGGAGAGTGAGTTTAAGGCATCTGACTCAAAATCGAGAGATGAAAGTTTGTTTAGAAGACCAGAGCCTTTAATTGTGGTGAGAACAAGAAGCAACCTTTACGCAGCGTTTTGGGTAGAAAATTTAACAGAACGCAAGGTTGTTTATTTTTTATTTATTTCATACTTGTGGTCATTTGGAATTGACACTGCTAATTTGTCTCTATTTTTTTTTATTGTATGGGTGTTTTTATTATTATTATTATTATTGAGAAAAAAATAGTTCTTTTAAAAAATAATTATTAATAAAGTTTATTAATTAGATTATTAGTTTAATAGGTTGAACCGTTAAACTAAAATTAATATGACATATTGATATTTTAATTTTAAAAAAATTATTGTTCTTAAAAGAAATCTAAAATCAAGTTATAATTTTACTTATTTTTTAAAATATTTTTGAACATATAATTTAATTTAAAACTTAAAACAGATATCATGTCAAAATAGATAGAAATCAAGTAAAAAAAATTCAAGGTTGACACCGTGAATCATATTTAATTATAATAAAAATTAAAAGAACCTGTTGTTTTACCGTGCATATACTCATAATAAACGTAGATCTTTGCATGAAAAATACAACTTTACCCTTGAAAGTTTAAATCTTGTAATATGCTTTTAATGGTAATATAATATTTTTCACACGACACGTTTACTGTTACAAAGATTGATCATGAATAGAAAGTCTTTCTAATCTTTGATGTGCACATTGTAATATCCAAAGGACTCCCGGAAAATGAATTTTCTTAACGGTAATGGTAGGGGTGTTTTTGGTTCTTGCTTTTTTTTTTTGGCACAGTATAGTTACCGAAGCGTCCTTATAGTCTAAAGTTGGGATTGAGGGCATTTTTTGGTTTTTTATTAATATTGTTATTTTAATATTGTGTGTGGTCATGATCAATTTGTTATTTGCATGGATTAATTTTTTTTTAAAAAAAAAATTAATGGCATGTGTGCCAACATACGGGGAAATGCTCGTGTCTTTTGACTAATACATATAACACCTCCTGATAATTATACACCACGTTTTATAACAATATTTGAGATGTCTTGCAGCTATTTTCATGGTAGTCCAATACGTGTAGCCATCAAACACACATTGGAGCTCAAGCAGTATTTTTTTCTCTTTTTATTTTTTATTTTTTCAAACATTGAAAAGATATGCAACCTAGTAAAAAAAAAAAAAAAATTGTGTTATTTGTTAACTTTATCATATCTGATTTTTATTCTTTTAATTATATAAAAAAAAATTTATGATGTTTCGAGTTCGATCCTCGATATTTTGATTTATATTTTAGTTTCTTGATTTTTTTTATCAAATTTTTATCAAATTTTAATTTCATTACTGGATCCATTATTTTATTTTTATTTTTTATATGTATTTGGTCTTTATTTTTATTTTTATTTTATTTTTTTATGAATTTTTTTTATTTTGTCATTCAATTTGATATTTGATGGTATATAAGGTTTCATCTTCGACGTTTTGATTTTTAATTTTAATTTTTAGATTTTTTATTAGTTATTTTTTTCAATTTCATCATTAGATCCAAAATCTTTTTGTTTTTTAATTTGGTTCCATTCTCTTGGTTTTTATTTGTTTTTGAATTCACTTGTTAATTTAATATTTTTTAAATTTTACCCTCCAGTTCAAAAATTTAGTTTTTCCTCTCGGATATTTTTTTAAAACAAGATGCTTATTCCCTTGATTGTTATTTTTTATTCTTGATTTTTATTTTATTTTATCATTTAGCATTTAATCTCTCTTTAGTTTTTTTCCTTTGTTTATAGGCCTTATCTTGGAGTTAATCAATGACAACTATTGGATTATGGGTCAAGTTGATTTATCTAGGTTGATTTGAGCCAACTAAATATTTTTATTTCATAAAAAAATCAAAATGATATCATTTAAATAGAAAAAAAAATAGTCAGCAGTTTCTTATTTGATTTGCCTTAGATTATCCAAAACACGGATCAACTAGGGTTTTTAATTATTTTATACTAGATAAAATCTTTTCTAATTTCTTTTAAAACTTGGCTCAGTTCATACTACAAGTCACCTAGATCACAAGTCAAAATTTAAAATAATAGTCACCTAGATCACGAGTCAAAATTTAAAATAATAGTTTTTCTAGATTAAGTGATTCTAATTTAGTTATTATATAGGTTTACCAATCTTAAAAATTAACACGGGTGTCATCATTATTTCCTTTCTAGTTATATATTTTAAACTTGTTGATTTTAAAAAATAAACTTTTTTTTTTAATTTTTTCAATTAAATTATCCCTATTCCTTCATCCAAGTAACAGGTTTGTACGTGTAGCTCAGACTTTTTAAATCATTTTATTTACCTTTTGATGTTTTCATTTGAAATTCAATTCTTTTTAAAATTACATTTTTGTTTTCCATGCCGTGCCTTCTGCTAAATTATCTTACCCGTATAATCCTCCTGATGGGTTTTAACAACTTTACTCGTATTGTTGGTGCTTTGTTTTAATTTTTTTAATTATTTTATTCCTATATAAGAATTGATTATTATTGTTATTTTTTAATTATTAAGTAATAATACACTTTTTTTTTTCCCTAACGTGCTGTGTATTTTTTTTTTTAAATAATTGGTTCGACCCACAGTAGCGGGTCAGCAAACTATTCTGAATAAAGTGACCTGACTTGAACCGTATCCTCCAATTTATCAGGTGGCTTTGTTTGGTTTCCCTTCACTGCTAACTTCACAAATCGCACCCGGAGAGGAAGAAGAAGACCTCGAAATCAATCGTCTTCGCTTTTATCAATGGCTGCGATCTTAGCTCGCAAGTCTCTTTCTGCTCTTCGCGCTCGCCAGCTTGTAAGAATCTTGTTGCCCTAGCTACCTCTTTCTGTTTGGTTCCCTTGAAAATGAAGGAAATAGTGGAATCGGAATTGCATATTTGATCCTTAAACTTCTCAATACCCGTGACTTGAATCTAATCTTTATCCCTCTTTAATCTTAATTTTCTAAAAAATGGATAATATGGATTGAAACGCGATGATTTAGGTTATTTAACGAACTGGTTTAGGATTATAAATGAATTATATAAATTTAATTCTTCTCCCATCTATAAATAGAGGTTAAATGAATTGATTTAGGTTAATTAAATTTTCCTGGTTGTTCCAATCCTCACTGAAAATTTGTAGAAGCAGATATGGTATTTTACAGTGGAATTGCTATTAAGATGGATGGCAAGATGACACGTTGTTGCAGCGGCAGAAATCAACTTATTTTGTTCAATTTTTAATTTGTGTTTTTACTGTAATATGCTGAAATTTCAGTTTGTGAATTTTTGTTTTCTTGAACTTGTGTATGAATTGAAATGAAGAGAGAACAGAAGCTTTTTGAGGTATTCGTGAGGGCATGGAATAGTGACTCGTGATGGAAAGTTTAGGATGTTTTTCACTATACTTTGAATTGCTGACTGATGGGTGATGAAATATTGCTTGTATTTTGGAATAGTTTTTTGTATTTGGCTAATGCTGCTGGTGTTAGCCTTGACAGTTTATGTTTTCCACGGTTGATTTATGAATCTAAAGATGTTAGTTGGCTTATAGTAATACTACTTTGTTCTTCTTTCTGGGTATGTAGGCTGTACCAAGACAAGCATTGCATGGTTCAAGCCAATATGTACTGAGATCCAGTGCCCACTTATATTCCACCAAAATAGGTTTGCTTTGTTCTCTCTGTTTTATTCGCATTCAGATATACTATTTGTGTGAGTGGGTGAACTAGCAAAACAATGTTATTGAGTTTTATTAGTGATACTCACAAATCTAAGACTGTAAATCCTTTGTGTTAAGATTTATTATATGACATACTGAATTTATTTGAGAGGAGAGTGTTTTGGATTAATGTTTTAGAATTTCCTCTGGAGGATGACAAGCAATTATTTCTTCTTCAGAGAACATGTTGAGATTCTAGTCCAAAAGTAACTGCCTAGATCTTTAATGGGACCTTTCTTACTCTTGCAGTGTGTTTATACTTTGTTTAAGTTATTGCACTTTATGTAATTTTTCTTATCTGTTACCGTAGAAGATGAAGATAGAAACGAGCTTGCAAAGGAGATTTCAAAGGACTGGAGTTCTGGTAATATATACATCCTTGGAGTTTGTGTTTTGAATTCTTTCTTACTTTTTTTTTTGTTTCCTGATACAAGAAGAGGTCCTAATGTTCTGACTAATTACAGTATTTGAGCGGAGCATTAACACACTCTTCCTTACTGAAATGGTTCGCGGTTTGTCGTTGACTCTCAAGTACTTCTTTGAGCCTAAAGTTACTGTAAGTGTCTCCCCATACACGGTCAGATATTAGAGCATCTCCAATAGGAGAGCCAAAATCCTTTTTTTTTTGTCAATGAAAAGCCATTCTTACATATTTATTAAAAGAGTCAAAAGCATAAAATAAATTATTTAAAGATTCTTTCTTTCATCTCCACAACTTTTCTCAATGATTTTTCTCAAAAGAGCTAAAACTATTAATATTAAATATATTAAAATACAAATGGGTTGTTAAAATGACTTTTTTCCATTGTAGTGCATATAAGAAAAAAATTTATATTTACACTATTCAAAAAGTTATACCAATTATTTGGCTCTTCTAAATGACTTTGCTATTGGAGATGATCATATAATGTGACAATGGCGAGTGATGATAGTAGAAATATCTTCTCATGTGCAGATCAATTATCCATTTGAGAAAGGTCCCTTGAGCCCACGTTTTCGTGGTGAGCATGCACTCCGGCGATATCCTACAGGGGAGGAACGTTGTATTGCTTGCAAACTTTGTGAAGCTGTAAGGCTTCGAGATTCATTGTACTCCCTTAAACAATTTTGTTTGTTGTATGGATTTTTTTTTTAAAGGAGGGAATTTCCGTTGTTAGTTTCAAATTCCATACTACATCCAGCCCCTAGTTAAATCATTCTCCAGGTTGGAGATGATCAAACTATACCATGGTGCTATGAATTGTGTTTTGCTGAATCACCTCAAAATTTGATAAAATTATTATGTGATCCCATCAGGCCTATGGAGAACTTAGAAATGGTTGTCACATATTTGCAACTCCACTCAGATTTTTCAGAAATGGTACTACAGTATATATGCTGAGACAACTTTTATATGCATGCCTGTACTGGTTTTTTCAACTGTCCTTTTTGGATTTCTAAGTTTATATTCTCTGGAATTTAATTATGATTTAATTGTTTCTAGTTGTGAAATTCCAAGTTGACTGCTTCCGACTGTGAGCACTTGTCATAAGATATTATAATTACTAGCGTGAAAACTTGCTGGTGGCTTCTCAATTTGCATTACTGTTTGATGCTTACTTTTTTTTTGTGGGTGTATGCATTTTTGTCCTGGGTAATATTTTTTGATATCCCAGTTTCTGCTTTTATCTGAGAAAGTAGCAGCGTCAGTCTTTTCTATCTGTATCCTCATAATCCCTACGTGCTCCTAACATCTCTCAGTTCATATGGTCTTGTTAGTTGCATTTAATTCTTCTCTCACAAAGCCTGGTTGGTTGCCAGATTTGTCCTGCTCAAGCAATAACCATAGAGGCTGAGGAGCGCGAAGATGGAAGCCGTAGGACTACTAGGTAAGAGGTTTATCATTATTTCTTTGTTCCTCGTTTTTTTCTCCTTATGTGCCCCTGTCTCGTCCTTTCTCACAACTCTGGATTTGACAGGTATGATATAGACATGACGAAATGTATCTATTGTGGATTCTGCCAAGAGGCATGCCCGGTTGATGCCATTGTCGAAGGACCCAACTTTGAATTTTCAACAGAGACTCATGAGGTTATATCCTTTTCACCATGAGCCTACCTTGACTGGTAAAAGAATTTATTCTTAAAATTCATCATTGTTGCAGGAACTCTTGTACGACAAAGAAAAGCTACTTGAGAATGGAGACCGCTGGGAAACTGAGATTGCAGAGAACCTCAGATCTGAGAGCCATTATCGTTAAAATGTTTTTTCGCTGGATGGTATGCGCTTGAAAAAAATAAAGAGATCTGTATATGGGTCTAGAAGATATTTGTATTCCAAGTTTTGTCATTTGGTAAATGTTTATTATCGCATTCCTTCTTCTGCAACATGTTAAAATGTAACATGACAGGTAAGGGACTCGAGATGCAGCTTCAATTTCCCTCTTTGTAGAACATTTGATTTTATGGAATGAGCGGGAAACATGGCAATCTATTTGAACTTCATTTTTAGTCGTTTTTTGGAACCTTTGTGTTCAGAGTTGGACAATCACTTAGCAGGAGATGAAGAGTTGTTGCAAGGTTGCCTTATCATTAATGTTAGGATGATCAGAAGCAACGACTCTTAAGTTATACCTCTTTCTTCTCCGCTCGTGGGAACAAAACAATCCCCGAGAATAGCTACGTCTTCATTTGTGCAAAGAGAAATGGTCAAGAATCTAGAGCACTGGACTTCTTTAGCCAGCTGAATAGCTTTAATCCAAACACCCCCCACAAGAGGGGATATGATTCATACCTGTCCACCAGATTGCGTATGTTTTCCCTCATCCCAAGCCTTGCCATCGCCGTACTCGTGGCCCTTGCACCCGATTGCTTTCTGTTTGTGACTCGTAGGGGCAGTGCAATTGGAGTTGGACTCTCAATTAATTGCTTCTCTCCTCTTGGATAAAAAGGAGATCTGGGAAGTTTAATCAAACACATTTCTAGACCTGTCCATAGGGATTGAGTTGTGCATATCGTTCATGTGTATGGAGAAGCAAATAATTGTGCAGATGGAATAACGAATTTAGGTATAAGCTTGAATCACGAGGTTAGTTATTTCAAAGAGCCACAAGGCTTTATAAAGGAGAGGTCGTAGAAGGATATTTGTAGTGTAGGGGAATTTAGATGCCGTGGGTAGATTTTTTGCCCCTCTTTTAACATGAGTTTTTTTTTTTAATATATCTATATATTTATGAAAGAAAAGTAGAGATATTCTCAAAATAATTTATAGAGATTAAGTTTTTTTTTTGAAAGATATATTAAGAATGCACTCCTGTACCAGTTTAATGTATTTGCATGCATAAATTACCATAAAACAATGTTCAAACTCAATAAATAAACAAAACTCGAGAAAAGGAAACCTCCTATCCGTTGGAATTATCATTTCAACATTTAACTTTAACTCGTAGCATCTTCACTCTTCAAATAAAAAAAAATATTAGATCATTTTTTATGAAAAATACATTTTTAACTTGAATTATTATTATTATCATACATTATTTATAAAAAAATAACCTCTAAATTATTACTCAAAGTAAAAGACCACCATTCATTTGTCATTCATGACAAACCATGCCGAACCTCCTCTATATAGAATCATAGAGACATATTGTTTTCAGTTTTTCTGTCAAAATTAATTGAATTAATGCAAAAGGAGGAGTAAGAACCCATCAGCGGGTCTTGGAAAAAGTCCATCATCAAGGCCCAAAATTAGAACTTACGAAGCCCGATCTCCTTACCATAACATATTGGCTCTATCCTTTCTGGTTCCTCCATCAAATAAACTTAATAAAACAAAGAGCGAAAAAAAAAAAAAAAACGAGGAGGAAATGGAATGCGTGGTGGGTTAATTAAAATTTCCAAGCCCCCTTAAAACCCACAACGCAAAAGCAAAATTGAAGCAAATAGCGATAATGGCAGAGGAAGCGATTTTAGGTTACTTACAGAACCACGAAGAAATCTCCGATTCCGGCCAGTTCGCTACCGATCATGGACTCGACCACAGCGACGTCGTTAATGTCATCAAAAGCCTCCATGGCTTCCGCTACGTCGATGCTCAGGTTCCTAAAATTATTATAAACTTAAAAAAAAAAGCCTAACTGTAGACTAGAGAAAGTGAAGATTAATGTGATTTTGAAGGATTTAGATATGACTATAATAAAGAGGATCAGTGTGGGTATGAATGTTAATAGTGATGGATTAGTTGATTAATTAGGGATTCGATGATGTTGTGTAGGATATTAAGAGAGAGACAGATGTGCTTACCGAAGAGGGTGAAAAATATGCTGAACATGGATCACCTGAAGTTCAGCTTTTCTTGGCTGTACCAGCGGAGGGTAGCATATTGAAAGAAGAATTGCAGGTTGTCGTAATTGATTGCTCCTACATTTTTTTTTCCTGTCTATGCCTTTTGTTTTTCAGTGTTATATTTGAATTTTGGCTGCTGGATTTTTTAATGCAGAAACTGGTGGATCCTGCAGTTTTCAAAATAGGATGTTCTCAGGCTGCAAAGAATAAATGGGTTCAAATGGGAAATCAAATATATAGGAAGGTAACGGAAATTTATTTATTTTTTTAACATGAAATTCGTCTTAATAGTCCTTGTGATTAGTCCGATAATGTTTTTTTTTTTTTTTTGGTATTATTAAGCATTGTGTTTATATTAAGGAAAATATTTTGCTGGTAAAAGTAAAATTAAGCTTAGACGAATAAATAACTAAGAATATCTTCCCTTGCTCTCAAGTCCAAACACGCTATCCTATTTCAAATCTCAACATGATACCTCTTCATTCTTTCAGAATTCCATGTCTACACCCAAATATCATGAACTGGGTTTTATCTTTTCAAAAGAAGAAACCTAGTACCCACCTTTTGGCTTTTGTTCAGTCTTGCATATTGTTCTGGTGTAATTATAATTCGTTTTCTTCTATGTCATAGGTTCAACATGTGGAAGACAGAATAAAGGATCTTCTTTTACAGATACGAGATGGACAGGTGCATTATTGTATTTAATGTTTTGTTTTTCATATGCTTTTTGAGGGCATCAAATTAAACAGTAGGTGAGATTTGCATAGTTTTCTGGGTATGGTTTCTGGTTAAGAAGAGGTCGTCTCTTAAGGGTTGTGGGGAGGGCCTTATTTCATTCCTGTATGGACCGTTTATGCCCGTTCTTTCATGTTTAATTTTTAAGCTGCTTGTTATTCATGTTTTACTAAATCCAATTTGCATGATTTCATCTTGATTGTGTCCCTTGATTTACTTTTTTTATTTGTTTGTGATTAGGAAATTGACACAGGTGATAAGAAGTCTCTCAAAGCTAGAAAGCTTATTGTTGTGCAGTAATGATCCTTTTCTTTCGCTTTTTGTGTTATTTATTATGGTTCTCATATTGTCTGTAGTACAAGGTTGGTTTCATTAGTGGTGTTGGTATTCACAACTTGTGACTTGTGCTCTAGAACCTGGAAGGGCTATTCAGTGAGAAAAGGTCCTGATTATGCTCCAATAAGAAGGAGAACTGCAACTGATTTGACTCGTGAATATCTACAGGGGTATGCTCTTATATGCACTTGGATATGCAGATACTGTGTTCATTTCCAATCTGAATTGTTAGCTGCTATTTGAATAATTTTCTCATTAAGCTAAAGCATGCCTGTGTTTGGTGGAGCTTTTTTACACCATTAGTTGTTCTCAACTATGAAGCACAGGGCATGTTAATGAACAATTTGGGGTCAATGATGAAGGCAGAACTTATGATTGCAAGCACATGATAAAAATGCATGCATTTAGAGAAAGCACTTATGCTATGGGGTATGCATAGGAACATTGTAATAATTAAACACTTTAACTAATTTCCAGACCTCTTAAGTTCGTTAATGAATTTCTTCTGGATGCCACCTAGATCTTTTCATTTCTTTCCGCAGCATGCAACTTCATACAATTTATTTATATAATTGTCGCGAACAAAAAAAGAGAGAGAATAAGACCTATGCATTTTATTTAAATTCTAGAGTGCAGGGGTATTGAGTAATTTCTATGTTTGCTGGAAAATCTGGAAATCGTCTCGGTCTAGGCTTTATTTCTGTTTAGTATTTTATTTTACTGGTCATAAAGTTCTTAGGTTTTCTTATTCTAAATAGAAATTGTTATTTTGGAGCACTGAGGTTTAGGAATCCATGTCCTTATTGGATTTGGACCGCTAAAACTCTGTAGTCTTTCAATATTTTAATTGAAGTTTATGAATAAAATTCCAGCAATTTGCTTTTTATAGCATGATTCAATCTCCCTTAGGCGTGACTCCTAAGAACCCTAGGTGTGAATCTTAGGTTTTTCTATCCTCAAGGTGTAAATCCTAGAAACCCTATTAGTCTGACTCTAATAGTTTCTACAATTCTTAGTAGAAATCCTCATCAATAAATACCAAACAGACATAAACAGCCTCTAAAGTCAGACCCAGAACAGCCTCCCCAAGTTATCCTGCATCAATAATGTAAACAATTACATATACTTGGGTGTGTTGTTCATAGTAATGATAACATATTGGGGCAGTGTTGAGTTGACTGTTCACCTGGTTTTGCATATTCATTGCATTTAATTGCTCCATTTACTTTCTATTGTTGACAAATTTATCTAATGTTTAGGGGTGATTGGAGGAATATAGAGTTCAAAGAGTATAACTTCAGTGCCAAAGGTCCACCATCTGAAGGTGGCCATCTTCACCCACTCAACAAGGCAAGAATAACATTATTCTTTTTTAACCTATTTTCTCTTTTTTTATATATATTAAATGAATCTTATACTCTTAATTTCCATACAAGTAATAGTGGCAGCCAACTATAGAATAGGCCAAAAAGTCTCTTAATACAATCATTTTCATTGTGCTGAAATTTGACCTATAATTTTCAAACAACTATCTTACACTCTTAATTGCTATACAGTATAAAAGGGCAGCCAATTGTAGAATGGGTTGCTATTTTTAGACACCAAAAAGCTCTTAGCACAATCTCATTCAGTGTGCTGAAATGCTGAAATTTGACCTTTAATTTTCAAACAACTATTTGGATTGTCACCGCATTGACAGATGTCATCATTTTGCCAAAAAAGATTGTGTAAAGAGGCGTATTGGTGTGAATCGCAACACCGTGTGCTCAAGGATTTCTTTTAGAGAGTAATTTGATTGGTGAATTGATACTGACAACAGTTTGTCCTGTAAATAAAGGTCGGGCTGAGTGTCTAGACTGATTGAGACCATTTTCATCATCTTGTCATTGTAAGTTGAAATATTACCATCATATGCAGCATTTCTTGCTCATAAGTTTATTTTTACCAGGCTAGAAGTTTGGGTGGGTGTGCTTTGGTTTCAGCATTGTTCATTAGTCTAATGCTGAAATTTTCTCATAACTGGGTTAAACCTTCTCATGTTTCAGATCTCAAGTTTTATATCTGAGTTAACTGTTGAGATGTGGGTTCATATC